GAGGGGATTTGGGGGGGCTCGGACCCCTTTGGGGGGTCCCAATCCCAATCTGGGGGGTCCCAAATCCCGATTTGGGGGGGCTCGGACCCCTTTGGGGGGTCCCAATCCCAATCTGGGGGGTCCCAAATCCCAATTTGGGGGGTCCCCAATCCCATTTTTGGGGGTCCCAAATCCCAATTTGGGGGGACTGGGCCAGGTTTGGGGGGTCCCTGACTCATTTTTGGGGGTCCCTAAACCCATTTTGGGGTCCCCAATCCCATTTCGGGGTCCCAAACCCTTTTTAGGGGGTCCCAATTCCGATCTGGGGGGTCCCTGACTCATTTTTGGGGGTCCCAAATCCCGATTTGGGGGGACTGGGCCAGGTTTGGGGGGTCCCTGACTCATTTTTGGGGTCCCGAATCCCTTTTTGGGGTCCCAAATCCCGATCTGGGGGGGAGCTGAGCCCAATTTGGGGGTCCTAAACCCATTTTTGGGGTCCCAATCCCATTTTTGGGGGTCCCAAATCCCGATTTGGGGGGGCTCGGACCCCTTTGGGGGGTCCCAATCCCAATTTCGGGGGTCCCCAATCCCAATTTGGGGGGGCTGGGATGGGTTTGGGGGTCCTAAACCCATTTTTGGGGGTCCCCAATCTCATTTTTGGGGGTCCCTAATCCCATTTTGGGGGTTCCAGGAATCATTTTTGGGGGTCCCCACTCCCAATTTGGGGGGGCTGAGCCCAGTTTGGGGGTCCCAAACCCATTTTTGGGGTCCCAAACCCTTTTTTGGGGTCCCAAATCCCGATTTGGGGGGGCTGGGATCGGTTTGGGGGTCCCCGACTCATTTTGGGGGATCCTAAACCCATTTCGGGGATCCCCAAACTTTTTTTGGGGGGTCCCAAACTCTTTTAGGGGAGGCTGAGCCTGTTTTGGGGGATCCTAAACCCTTTTTTGGGGGATCCTAAACCCTTTTTTGGGGGTCCCCAATCCCATTTTTGGGGGTCCCAAATCCCAATTTAGGGGGGCTCAGCCAGGTTTGGGGGGTCCCAAACCCTTTTTTGGGGGTTCCAGGAATCATTTTGGGGTCCCCAATCCCATTTTGGGCGTCCCTGACTCATTTTTGGGGGATTTTTGGGATTCCTGATTTTTTAGGATTTTTCAGGGTTTTTTGGAGTCGCCGATTTCTGGTTTTTTGGGGTTTTTTTGGGCCCCTGATTTTGGGTTTTTTGGGGTTTTTTTGGGCCCCTGATTTTGGGTTTTTTGGGGTTTTTTTGGGTCCCTGATTTTGGGGTTTTTTTGGGGTTCTCTTTTGGGGGTCCCAGATTTTGGGGTTTTTTTGGGTTTTTTGGGGTCCCTGATTTTTGGGGTCCCAGATTTTTGCCTTTTTTGGGGTCCCAGATTTTTGGGGTTTATTTCCTTGATTTTGGGGGTTTTTGGGTTCCCTGATTTTTGGGATTCCCTGAGCTGATTCCCACGGGGTTTTTTTGGGGTCTCAGATTTTTGGGGTCCCTGATTTCTGTTTTTGGGGTTTTTGGGGTCCCTGATTTCTGTTTTTTGGGGTTTTCTGGGTTCCCTCATTTTGGGGTTTTTTGGGTTTTTTGGGTTCCCTGATTTTTGGGATTCCCTGGGCCGATTCCCACGGGGTTTTTTTGGGGTCCCAGATTTTTGGGGTCCCTGATTTGGGGTTTTTTTAAATTTTTTGAGTTCCCTGATTTCTGGAGTCCCCGATTTCGGGTTTTTTTGGGGTCCCTGGATTTCGGGATTCCCTGGGCCGATTCCCACGGGGTTTTTTTGCTTCCCATCTTTTTGGGGTCCCTGATTTCTGTTTTTGGGGTTTTTGGGGTCCCTGATTTCTGTTTTTTGGGGTTTTCTGGGTTCCCTCATTTTGGGG